TTCTTTAGATTTCACCTGTTCAAATCTCCCCTGATCAAAGAGGCCTTTCCCCATCAAAAATAGTGCTGACCCCATCTCTTCATCCCCTCGGCTTGCTTTATTTTCTACGTAGTTATCACCAAGATACATTGTTTATTTTTCCTGTCCCCCGGACAAGAATGTAAGCTTCGTGACTGCAAAGATATTCGTCTGCTTTGTTCATTGTTGAATTTCTAGCACCTTGAGCAATGTGTGGCACATATCAGCTACTTGAAAATTGTTATTGAATCATTAAATGAACCGGCATCAATGGAGCACAACCACCCAATGTGGTGTGAAAGCTGTTGCTTCAATGCAGGGGGGTAGTGGATGGGATTTGTGACATCTCCCACCCTGGCTTGAAATGGCCTCTCCTCGCCATGTCTGTGATGCCACACTCTCCTGGTTTTCCTCCTCTCGGGCTGCTCTTTCTCAATCTTTGTCGATTCCTTTGCTCAAAACTTCCGTGTCCTCTTTTCTCAGGGTTCTGTTGGGACCTTGTCTCCATTTATCATCCCTCATACATACCTTCCCCAGGCTAGGTCACTAAATCCCACAGCTTCAATTACCATCTCTGGTGATCCTCAAATCTTGGTTTCCAGCCCTGATTTCTCTCTTAAGCTCTGGACCCAGAGGTTGTCCAACCTCCTGGCCCATGCTGCTGGGTGGCCCACACGGGACACAGCACCATCAGAACCTGCATCTTTTCTGGGTCTCTTTCTCAGGGAGACCTCCCCAAATCCCCAATCTCCCAGCCAGAGGGTTTTGCTTTAGATGTCACCCTCTATTCCTCTTTGCAGCCAGCCGGTCCCACGGCCAGTTCACTCAGCCTCCTGGGCTCCTCTCCCGCCAGCACCTCTTCCCTTTCCCACAGCCCCATCCTGGTGCAAACGCCCCTCTCCCATCTCAGCTGCTTCCCTGGACTCACTGTCCGCAGTTCTACTCCCTCCGACATAGAAGCCAGAGATAGCTTTCCAAACTCCCAACTCACCGTGGCTCTTCCCAGGTCGAAGCCTTTCCATGGCTCCTTATGCTCAAAGGACAAGTCCCAACTCCCTCGAGTGGCCAAACTTCTGGCAGCTCATGTCCCACCACTCCCTGCCTTGAACTCTACACTCCACCCGACAGCATTTGCTGAGCTCCTCTTAGGAGCCACGTCTCTGTCACCTGAGAGCCTTCTGATAACTCCCACTCTGCTTAGCTCTGCCAGGGATCTTTGTGGAATGAACGGACAGATTACAACAGCCAGAGCAACAATTCTTATTTATTTACGGCCTCCTTTGGGCCCAGCCCTTTACATGCATCGTCTCTTCCAGTTCTATTCCGTTTGAGAGGGGAAGCAACAGGCTCAGAGAGGGGTGCGCTGAGAAAGCGAAGATTCCAGAAGCCTGAGCACCAAGCTGAATGGTCAGGTGCACAGCTGGGCCCAGGCCTTGGGCGGCGCGCGCCGAGGAGCGGGGAGCAGGCCTTGAACGCCAGAATCAGGGATTGTGACTTAGCGCGGGGCCGCTGAGGTGGACGAGTGCGAGACTGCCCCCTGTGGGCCAGGAGGCCCAATGTCCGGCTCTGCCGTGTCCGTTGCCCGTGGCAACGCCGCGCGCGCCCCACCCCGTCCCTGCCCGCCGGGCTGCCAGCCCGTCAAGCCGTCAGCCCGTCAGCGCCCGGCCCACCTATCCCACCGAGCAGGGGGCGGGCCTCCGGGGCCTCATCCAGCCCCCGTCGCTCCCCTCGCCACCAGAACCCCGCCTTCCTCCGCGCTCACCGCCGGCCCTTCGCGCTGCCCTCGCCGCCAGTTGGCGAGCGCACCGGCCGTCACCGCGGCGTCTGCCAATGCCGGCGCGCGGTGGCTCCGTAGGGGCGGAGCCAG